TCCAGAGTTCAGTCATCCAGGCCCTCAGAGACTCCTGAAACCATGACCCTAGAGGGCCTGCTTACTGCTCAAGGTGGTAGCAGTCCTTGATTTCATCCACACTATGATGGTTTTACACACATGTAGACTCCAAGTGGTGTGGTGTCATAGAGGTTTCCACCAAGACCTTGGAGGAAGTTGTGGGAGGCCAGGCAGGGTGTCCATGAGAGCGCAATGTGTGAAACTGTGAGAGTGAATATGAATGTTTAGTGGAGAACCCAGGAAATGTAGTTGGGAGGAACCAGAAATATCTGCAAAGTTATAGGCAGTGAGCAATACCTGCCTGAGAGAGAGGCCAGGAGGGCTACAGTGACAATGCTGTAGGGACAGGACTGTCCAAGCCCTTTGGAAGTCATAAACTTATTATAAGTTGTCCCAGGTGTGTACATGGAGCTACAATATTTAGTGTCTGCCCTACTGGGTTTTGTCATTGATTTGGTTCTATTGCTTTTTATTCACCTATTCCTTTGGGAAGAGAAATGCTTACTTTTTGTCTTTTTGTGTCAGGAGTGTTTACCTTTATGTTTGCAGGAGTTTATAGCTAAGAATCTGTCTCAAGTCTCAGAGGAGACAACGCATTTGAACTTTTCATCAATGCTGGGACTTTTAATATTTTGATGAATCTTAGACATGGTCAAATGCATTTTGCATAAAGAGATGGACATATGTATTTTGAGGTGAAGGAAAGAATGATATGTTTTAGATCTAGATATTTCTCCAAACGTCCCTTATTTACAAAGGTGGACATTTGGAAGGTAATTAGATCATTGATCATTGGAGTGCTATACTCATCAGTGCAGTGAACCATGGATGAACCCATAGCTGAAAGAACTGGTAGGAGTTGGGCCTGATTAAAATTGGTGGTTCACTAGTGGCATAATCTGAAAGGGTATATCAACCCCCCCTTATATATACATATATATATATATATATATATATATCTTTCTGGGGCCTGACATTAGCACATTTCCTCCATGCAGATGCTCAACTATACTGTTTCTGCCTTGGACCCAGAAGAATATAAAAGATAAACATTAAAATTATCATATGTGTCAAAACTATCTCTAAGATAAAGCACCTGATGAGCAGTCATATTTACAACACATTTGAACAGCAAAGAGCTTCAAGTAAGCCTATTAAAATTAGCATAAATAAGTAAGAAAATATATACTAAGTTGACACTTCTATAAACATGTTCAGTAAACATGTACAAGATCAATAAATGTTATTCTTATATTAAGAAATTCCAATTACCGTAATAGGTGGTTGCTACAAAGATATTAAATAGATGAGCTATTAGCAAACTGAAAGTACTGAGTATTGGTAATGACAAAGAGTTATGAGCAATTTCGTATTCTTAAGAAACATCCAAATGCCCATTGCTGAACAAATGAGACTTTAGGGGGACATTCTCAGTAATAACACTCAGACTACTGTGTTCTCTAAAGGAAAAGAAAAGTTCAAGAGAAAGATTCCTGATATGAGGAACCTGGGAGACATAAGGGCTCTATAAGCTGAAGATTTGAGGAGCTGGGGGAGGCTAATCCTGTGCTGTTGATATGGATTTTATAATACATAACCATTTGTTAGGAGCTCTTTGACATTGTGACCCTGAGAAAGGAATTAGTGCTTCACTGCAACAGGAGAAAAATAGTAGAGGGAATTACATATTTTATGAATTTTCTTACTCATAGACATAGAAATGTGGCAAAAATTCAGAGCACATACACCCTTTAAAATGAAGATTTGTCTATTTTCTTACTTCAGCTCTCTCAGCACTAAGATTTCTCAAGCAGAGAATACATTTACTGTATGCAGAAAATTATGGAAGGAAAGGAGAAAAATGAAACATGAATAGGAAATGGACAGTAAGAGGCCCTACAGCGTATCAGCTACCAGAGGGGATGCAGGGAGTGGAAGCAAATCTAGAGACAGAGAAAATGCCTCTGGGATATTTCAGGAGCTGGAGTCTGTTCTACTCTTCCTACAATCATCCATTTTACCTGCACTAGGGCACTCACTCCAGGGTCCATGGTCTGCCCTTTGGGTAAAAAAGCTGTCTACCTAACTTCAGAGAGCACAGTGTAGAAGGTATAGGCCTGGCAGCATCAATAGAAGCACAGTGAGGATAAAAGACTAAGGTGACAAACATTGCCTGGTGCCTCCACCCAGGTGGAAGATGTGTGCTCTTGATGTGGAGCTCTCAGCCTCATTCTGACAGGTCAGTGGGGACAAGTTCCCTTAAAGTTCAAGCCCCAGGACAAGCTGCAGGACATTTGTGCACAGGCTTTAGAGATGTGGCCCCTGACCAATGCGGGGTGGAGTAAGAGGGAGGAAAGAGAACAAGTGATGAATGCTGATCATGTGGCATGTGTATGCACGGGAATAGTGGTTATTTTATTGGTTTAGTGGACTAAGTACAGTGTCCCCACTCTCAGGCCCATAGAAACTGTAAATGTATTTTCTGAGGGAAATGTTCCTTTCTCTCAGATTTAAATTGAAGATATTTAGATGATAAAATTTTTCTGGATTAAAAATTTGTCTTAAAGTGCAATTCCAAGTATGTTTATCATTGGCAGACGGGAAGATTTAGCACAGACTGAAGAGAAGACCTGGAAATCACAGTGAGCGGCCACAGCCAAGCAGAGCTGCAGCTTCTAGGTGCTGGGAGAGGCAAGGAGCTCAGTCTCTCCTACATTTTCTCCTCAGAGCCCCACCAGCAAGCACCATGAAGTTGGGTCATTGAAACTTATTAAGGCCTTGGCCCCTGGATCTCAAAGAATGGGTCACCATTGTTTTAAGCAAATAATTTTGGTGTTTTGTTAATACAGTCCTTAGGAACCAATACAAATGGGGCTGACAGAAAATTCTACATTTAAGTCCATGAGTGTTTGCAATCTCCTTGTTCACATTCCTAAGGATACACAGGTTGGACTGGTGGAAATTACATATGGACAAAGAAATCACAGGAAATACTAAATTTGTTGTGAGTCACATGACAGCTGAATAAATGTTTCTAATGTGGTATAAATGGCATCTCATTAATAATATCTTACAAAGTCTCTTCATTCAACCTAGTCAAAGATATATTTAAAAGGACCTGACTTTTTCTAAAAATATATATTTTATAGTGGATTGATTATTTTATTAGAACCCCACACCAAATACAGTTAGTGCTGCATTTACAAGAGGATCTAGAATCTGACACACCATGATTATGCCAAACCAAATGGCCATTGGGAACTGGGACTAATATTTCAACCCAGATCTGTCTGCCTTTTACTGTATTCCTTCCATGCAGCACATTATTTCAGAGTTGAGTCCAAAACCTATAAAATAGGTGGTGGAACAAACTAGAATGAAAGTATAAATTTATAACTACCTGCTGTTCCTGTCCCATATCATGCTGATCCTTATCTTAAACTCAGTCTCTTCAGAGAGTTTTTTTAAGGACTCTTTCTAAGCTTTCACATGGTCTAATGGACTTTCTTCAGATTTGTGGGCAGGGTTGCCTGTTGTATGATTCTGACTGCCCCCTCATTCACTGGTCCTTTCCCCACACTCTGACTCAATTCTTCCCTCTCATACTCTAATTTATACTTCTAATTGGTCTTTTTAATACAGAAACACACAATAAAAGAACACACAGAAAACTTCCTCTCCACCCAGCCTCTCAGAGAGCAGATGTAACCTCTCTCAAATTTCTCAGATTGGCAAGAAAAAAAAGTATTTTACCAAAGAAGAGATTTTCTGCCTAAGGAGAACTATGGTGCTAGCTCTCTTTATCATAAGTTATTCCATCCCTGTATTCATACTAACAACTAATAAGCACAAAACACAAATGTGAGAGACATCACAGCAAGTCACCTACTCACAGAGGCAAAAGATATTCTGCCCCCTGCTAGGAGTTCCTTGTTATGGCTCTAACAAATCACCACTATCTCACTTCAGACAGATCAAAGTGATCGTCTTCCAGTCTGGAGATCAGAATTCTCCCTGAGCTGAACTCAGGAAGTCATGGTGCTTGTACACCTTTAAACGGCTCACAGGGAGATAATCTAATTCCATGCCTTTCTGCCTCCAACATGCTCCACTGCTCCAAGGTCCCATCATCCCAACACTCCAACATCATTTCTCTTTGTCATGTTTCCTTTCTGTGCCTCTATTCCTACCAAGAATGAGTACCACTGTGTTTACACTCATATCACTCAGATAATCCAAGATAATATTCCAAGCTCGAAACCTTTAACTCAAGTAAATCTGCCAAGTTTCCCTTATTACATAACATATTTTCACAGTCTAAGGATTTAAAATGGAAAAGTCTGTGGAGTGAGGCATTTTTCATCCACCTGCAGGGCCTGCCATCCCCAGTGTCTTAGTCACTCCGTTCTCCCTCAAACCACACATGCAACTCCTGCAACTGAAAGGAAGATGGTTTATTTTGGCTTAAATTTTAATCCATTGTTGCATGCCTGAGAAATAGAAAAAGGGTGGCATAGGTGCATACAGAGGACAAGGCATTCAACTTGTGACAGCCAAGAAGCAGAGATAAAAAGAAGGATCCAGGGATAAGTATATAGGAGCCCATGCCCCTGTGACACCCATCCAATAAGGCCTGACCTCCTAACAACACATTCAGCATATGAACACACGCAAAATTGAATCCACCATAGAATATAGGGACTCAATAATATAGTAAGTCTACAAAAGCCCACCTCTGAGCACATAAACATTTGGAGGACTCTCTATATGTAAACATAACACCCAGATAAGAGCCCTTCTTTAAAGAAAATGAAACTTCCAAGGCAGATGCATGAGATATAACTGTTGAGAGCTAAAAGATGTGAATTCCATAGTCTAATGTAGATTTCTAATGCTGATTTGCATGTGCAGAGAGCACAGCCCACTGCCCTGAGGACTTCTCAAAAGATTGCTCACACCCTGTGCAGGAGTCAGTCCCAGTCAGGACACAGCATGGACATGTGGACCCCCGCTCAACTCCTGGGGCTCCTGTTACTCTGGCTCCCAGGTAAGGAGGAGAGCACTGGGGATTTCCTCAGCCCAGTATGGCCTGTATTGCACTCCAGGGAAGTCCTCTTGTAAAGTGATTAATTGTGTGAATATTGTTTTTGTGTTTCTATTCTCAGGTGCCAGATGTGACATCCAGGTGACCCAGTCTCCAACCTCACTGTTGGCAGCTGTAGGAGACACAGTCACTATCACTTGCAGGGCCAGTGAGGACATCGGCTATGGCATACATTGGTACCAAAAGAAATCAGGAAAAGCCCCTAAACTGCTGGTCTATGTTGCAGATGAATTAGCATCTGGGGTCCCAAAAAGGTTCAGTGGAAGTGGATCTGGGACAGATTTCACTCTCACCATCAGCAGCCTGGAGCCTGAAGATGTTGCCACTTACTACTGTCTACAGGGTTATGATACCCCTCCCACAGTGATACAAGCCATGACATAAACCACCTAAGGAAGCAGAAGTATGAGCCCAGGCTGGCCCAGCTGCTCTTCCTGTTGCTGCCTGCAGCTGAGGGGACTTTTCAAATGTAAGCATGATTTGCTTGTCACTGAAAGGTATTTGTAGAGGGAGGCAAATCTGGAAACAGAGAAAATGCCTCCAGGATACTTCATCTTAGGTGAAGGAGCTGGAGTGTGTGAATCTGTTCCTATAATCATCCATTGTACCTGTCCCCGGGCACTCATGCTAGAGTCTCTGGTCCGCCCTCTGAACACAACAAGCTATCTACCCAACTTCAGAGAGGACAGTGAAGAAGACATAAAGTTGGCAGCATCACCAGAAGCACAGTGAGGCTGAAAGACTAAGGGGACCAACAATGATTGGTGCCTATACCCAGTTGGAAGATGTGCGCTCTTAATGTGGACCTCTCAGTCTCATTCTGCCAGGTCATTTGGGAACAAGTTCACTTCAAGTTCAAGCCCCAGGACAAGCTGCAGGGCATTTGTGCACAGGCTTTACAGATATGGCCTCTGAGCAATAAGGGGTGGAGTCAGAGGGAGGAAAAAGGGGAAACAAGAGAGCAGGTGAGGAACACTGATCATGCGGCACATATGAGCACAGAAATAGTGGCTACTTTACTGGTTTAGTGGAATGAGTACAATGTCCCCACCCTCAGGCTCATAGAAATTATGAGAGCATTTTATGTAGGAAATATTTTTACAGGTTTAAATTAAAGATATTTAGATGGTGGCATTATCATGGATTAAAAATTTGGGCTCTCAGTGTAATTCTAAGTGTTTTATAAGGAACAAGCAGGGGAAGATTTAGTACACATGAAAGAGAAAACCTGGAAATGACATAGAAGACACTGGAGGGACTGGCCACAGCCAAGGAGAGCCGCAGCCTCCAGGAGCTGGGAAAGGGAAGGAGCAAAATCTCTCCAATAACCTCTGCCTGGGTTCTCACCAGTAAGCACCAAGATATTGGTTCATGGAAGCTTATTTCAGACTCTGGCTTCCTGAATCTGGGAGAAATGGCATCCACTTTTTAAAAAATTGGTATTTTGCTACAAGAGCCCTTGGAAAGTAACACAAATGGGGCTGAGAGAAAATCTAGACTAAGGCTGCTATGTTCCCAATCAATTTCTTCAGATCCTTAATGTTACATGGAATTGAATTGTAAATTTTGTATGGAGAAAGAAATCACATGAAACATTAAATTTATAATGAGTGACATGACCATTGTAGAATAAATATTGCTGATTTTCCTTTAAAATCACATCTGCTAAATGTACATCACAAAATCACTTTATTTAACCTATTTAAAGGTATAAAAGAACTGACTGTTCTTTAAAAATATATATTTCATGGTGGATCATGTGAGTAGACCTCCAGGAAAAATGTTGGTGCATTTAGTGCTACACTTAGGAGAGAATCTAGGGTCAGAGCTCACTATGGTTACTACATAATCAAATGGTCAGTGAGTGTTTAGACTGAGATTTGAAGCCAGGTCTGTCTGCTCTTAAATATATTCCTTCTGTGCAGCCACTGTATTTCTCAGATGAATGCAAGACCTACAAAACAGGAGGGGAACCACACCAGAATGGTAATATGAAATTCATAGCTACCTTCTGCATCTGCCATGCCATGCTGATCATAATTTTAAACTCAGTCCTTCTCCAGGTTTTTTATTTTGTTGTTTTGTTGCATTTTCTTTTGCTTTTTTACAAAAATCAACCCTTTCTGAACCTCCATATGTTCAATTGATGGTTCAAACTGAGGGTAAAGGGAACATCTTATATGACCTGGATCCCTCCCTCCTTCCACTTTTTACCCTGACACACTGACTCAATCTTTCTGACTCATATTCTAATATATTCATCTAAAGTATCTCTCATATAAAAACAACAAATAGAAATCTCCTCTATCCAGCTTCTGTGTGATCAGACACAAAGACATTCAAAACCCAGATTAACAAGAGATAAAGTATGTTACCAAGAGATCTTCTGATTAAAGAGAACTCTGGGGGCTAGCTTTCTTTATTATAAATCCTTCCATGCCTCTCTCAAAATGGACAACAAATAAATGCAAGACGGAAATGTTAGAGATATCAGAGGACAGCCACCTATTCCTGGAGGTAAAAAACACTCTCTCCTCTTGTAAAAGTTACTTATTATGGCTCTATGAAATCACCATGATCTCATTCACTTCAAACAGCCTTGATTGATTACCTTACAGTTCTGGAGATCACAATTCTCGGTGAGCTAATGTCAAGAAATCATGATGACTATGTTTATTTAAGAGGCTCATAAAGAGAGAATCTAAATCCTGGACTTTGCATCTCCCAACATGTGGCCACCCTGCCTGCTCCATGTTCCCTTTCTCCAATCACAAAAGTATCACATGTCTTTGTCATGCTCCCTTTCTGTAATTCTTCCTGCCTATTATGAGTACCACTGTGTTGACCTTGGTCTCACCCATGAAATTCAAGATATACTTCCAAACTCAAACTCCTTAACTGAAGCATATCTGTGAAGGGTTAAAACTAAATGTAGAAAGATCTCCCCTGTTCACAGCAGTGTTGTGGCCTTGTTCTAATGATTAGTCCTCAGATATCTGCCAGAGTTTCCTGACATGAGCAGGACTCCATCTGAGCCTGGCCCCCTCCCAAGGACACTCTCTCTCTGAGACACCTATTTACATGGTATAGAGCCTTGTTCTTTTGGGCACTTCTTCAGTCACTGGAAGCTTCAAACTCCCTGCCTCTGTTCATGTACACAGTTAGGACACTGCCATTTTTGACTCAACTGTTGTTTTGGGAGCTCACTGGCAGGGGATGCAGGGGGACTTTGGAGTCTCATGTGAGGTGAGGACACTCTGCCTATACCCTTTCTAGTCAGGCCACTGAAAGCTGTGTCTGGGATTCCCCAGCACTGGATTTTAGGAGCTGATGCTTCCCTCAATTTGGTAATGTCATTTTCTTTTTGTAATTTCAATTTCTTCTGTGTAACTGCATGGGGATGGGGGTTAATCAACAATTTATTAAATTTTGACTGATTGTCTTCAACTTCTGTTACAGGTGTTAGAGGCTTTGTTGTTTGAGAATTTGGACATGTAAATTCAGCATCTGGGACTGTAGTCTTATTCAAGCAATAATCTGGCAAGTTTCCTTTACCATCGAAGATACTGTTAATAGGATCCAAGCATTAAAAAAAAGTCTTAGTCACCTTGTCATCATTTGGACAAAATACCCACAACTGAAACTCAAAGCACACTGGTTTACTTTGGCACACAGTTTGTCCCTGATTTCTGGTTCTAAGGCAGAAACATGAGGGCAAAAGGGCATGGCATAAAGAAAGGAGCTCAAGCCATGGCAGCTAGGAAGCAGAGGGAGAAGCAGTAACATGGAGATAAGAATACACCCTTTGAATCCATGCATTCATTGGCCCCTTTCTAACCAGGCCCCAACTACTAAGGGGATGTTTATCTACTAAACTCATCAATCCACTGAAGATTATAGCATCCTTAAGATGCAGTCAACTTTCAATGCCCAACTTCTGAACACACAACCCTTTAGGAGAATTTCTAGATTTATAACACCAAGAAAATCATCCTTCCCTGGAAGGAAAAGAACAACATTCAAGAAGTAGATTCATGACAATAAGATGGTACAAGACTTTATTAGGTTGATGTATTCAGCCCTAGCATTTCCCATATACACAGTGTATTTATTCCAAAAAGTAAATTGTGGAAAGAAAGGAAGAAAGTGAGCCAGGAAGAGAAATTGGCCGGCAAAAGGCCAGTTAGCATACCAGCCATTTAAGAGAATGAATGGACCCGAATCTCATCTGGAAGGACATGCAAAGTGCCTCTGGGTTATTTCAGCTGAGGTCAAGGAGCTGTAATATGTATGCATCTCTTCCTATGAACATTAATTGAGGCTGTCCTAGGGGACACTCATTCTAAGATCTGTGGTCTGAACCCATGTATGGAGATCTGTCTACAACAACTTCAAAGAGCACAGTGAAGAACAGATAAAGCTGAGGAAAAATCATAAAACCTGCAGTGAAGTGGGGAGACTGAGAGTACCATCAGTGACTATTACTTGTACATGGATAACAGATGGGTTCTCTCAGTGTGAAGCTCTCCAATGGATTCTGGCAGGTCAGTGGCAAGCAAGTTGTCTGCAAGTTCAAGCCCCAGAAAAAGCTGCAAGAAGTTTATGCAAGTCTTTATTTCATGGTCTGGCCAATTGCAATAATTCATTAATGATATCCTAAGCCTGCCCAGGTTACAAGGGCAGACACTGAAGGCACAACTGCTACCAATACCAGCTTCTGCTGGTGGCTAGGACATTGCACACAAAGGTAGAGGTGTTGTATTTAAGGGATCAATTATTTGACCCCATTTTATCATGATATAAGATATTTTTCCTCTAAATAGGGCTGGTCTGATGGAAAATGACCATTTTCTTCCCTGAAGTTGAAGATAGGAAGGATGATTTGAGTCTGGAATATGTCTTTGCCCACTGATAAGTGGTAAAAGAGAAATGCAGCATCAAAGCCCATGGTTTGGCAATGCAGGGAGTAGCAGCCAGCCTCGTCGAAGATACATGGTTTGCTAAACTGGTTCTTCCAAGGGTTGCTTTCCTCACCTGCTCTTCAGAAAGGCAGGCTAGAGAGCTGCAGCAACACATCTTCTGGGAAGACTCCAGCAAGGAGCATAGCTCAGGGATTTCCACAGGGGATGTGTGGTTGACTTTCTTCTTATCCTGGAGAGAGCTAATCTTAGAAGACCTGCACTCTTCCAGAAGTTCATGATTACTCTAATACTGTGCTGCAGAGTAGAAGGAAGAAATAGGTTTTTCTTTATGTTATCAACTCAAAGACCAACTGTCAGCCATACATGCAAGGGACCATGGGAAATATGAGCAAAAGAAAGAAAGGAGGTACAATACAATATGGAGGATGCCAAACCAAGAATTCTGCACAGCCAATTTAGTTT